TGGAAAAGGCGTTATCGTCACCATCATTGATGACGGAGTAGAGGGAAAACACGTGGACTTGGCCAAGATTTTCGTTAGTTGCATCATTTTGAATTTGACACAGTTGTAGTGGAGTTGTCGGAAAATTTGGTGCATTCTCAATGAAATTTTGAAGTTTATTATGAACATATCTCTAAAATGGCAAAATGGATAACTTTTTTTTGTTTAGGACCCAGAAGCAAGTTATGACATCAACGATAACGACAAGGATGCCACGCCAAGATACGATCACTCGAATATCAACAAGTAAGCAGTTGATCTGGTGATATATAGAATTTTTAATTCCAAAAATTGTAAATTATAGAATTTTCAATTCCTAAAATTGTAAATTAAGTTGACATTTCGAATATTTCTAGTTTCCTTTATAGAATTCTTGCATAATTTTTTTTATTTTGCGAACATGGCCTTTGTGTTCAGACACGGTACAAGATGCGCAGGAGAAGTTGCTGCTGCAATTGGTAACAAAAAATGCGTTGTGGGTGTTGCATACAATTCGAAGGTTGGCGGAATCCGCATGTTAGACGGGACAATCACCGACTCAGTTGAAGCCAGATCACTCTCACACAAACCAGAGTACGCTCATATCTACAGTTCTTCCTGGGGTCCAGACGATGACGGAAAAACTGTGGATGGACCCAAGTCATTGGCACTGAAGGCCTTTTCAGACGGGGTACAAAAGGTGAGTTCCAACTTATCAAGAGTCAATGAACTTAGTGAATACTCTCTTATAGGTCTTGGTATTTTTTTTTCAGGAAAGTCTTAAAATTTGTTCACGCTCACTTTTGATTTTTAGCGGTTCAGCTTTCCGAGCGAAATAAAAAATTTACCTATTCATCCACTTTCTCAAATTGGGTTATTTTTTATCAAAAATAAATAAATTGTTCTTGAAATTGCCATAGCTTTAAGGTCACATTTTTTTTCTTTCTAATGGGAATTTCGAAATTGAAGATTCGGTCATTCGAAATTGGAAGTTTTTTCGACACAACTCAGTATCTTTTATCTACTTCTTAAGTTAACGTCTCTTAAGTGTATATTTTTCGGTAAAATATTGAAACCACCAGACCGAACTCATCAGAGCAAATAGTGCTGTTGTCAAACCTCTAACTTAATATTCCGGCTTACTATTTCATGAAACTAAAAAAATGCTGTTTGAAAAAGATAGTGTTCGACTTTTCGAGAATAATTAACAATAATTGACTACAGCTGCTTGTGTTCGGATGGGATACACTTTTCATTAGCGATTCATTAAGATACTTTTTTATAATGATTATGTCAAAATTTTAATGAAGTTTTAATTTTTGCATTGTGCTTAGGGTCGAGGAGGTAAGGGCTCTATCTTCGTGTGGGCAGCTGGAAACGGAGGCAGACATCAGGATGACTGCAACTGTGATGGCTACACTACTTCCATCTACACTCTCTCAATCGCCAGCACAACAGAGCATGAACTGTTTCCGTGGTACAGCGAAAGGTTAGAGAGAGAGAGAAAGCGAGAGAGAAAAAAACTGTTTATTAAAGCGAGTCGCAAATCTAGAATTGTCCAGCATTACAAAAATTTCAAACGAAGTCTTGAAAACTTTGCTGTCTGCTCAACTAATGAGTTTTTGATGGATTTTTTCGAATGCTTTTCTTGGATGCAAGTGCAAATGAATTGTCGGATTTAGAATTTTCTCGAAGGGTGGATATCAAAAAAATGTGACGGCCTTTCTAATCCCCTGAAAAATCAACCGTACCAACATCTTGCCTGCGTTTAAATCAACTGCGCCCCATGATTCCGCAGCTGGAAAATCATGACCTACTAAAACTTAATTGAACTGAAAAACGAAATCGTAAAAAAGCTGATTGGGTATGAAACTGGTGAAATTACAAGAAAAATTGATTTATCGTTTTTTGTTTTGCTGGAATATTCTCCTTATTACATCACGGGGTCAGTTTGGTGAAGCCCTAATTTTAGACCCAAATTTTAATTTATTGTTTTAATTTCTTGTTTGTCCTCATGCAGGTGTTCGTCGACATTAGCCAGCACGTACAGCAGTGGCAGTGTGGGAGATAGGAGCATAGTGACAACAGACTTAAAGAATAAGTGCACAGATAAACACACGGGAACATCGGCAAGCGCCCCCCTGGCGGCTGGGATTTGTGCTCTCGCTTTAGAAGCCAAGTACGTTCAAAATGACTTTTTCTGGATTGGGTTTCTATTATCTTTTTATGATGCAAAAATCTGCTCTTGGATTGGATAGAAGCAAGGCCAATCATTTGTATTTTTCATGTGCTAGTTTTCTCATATTCAGGTTCTGTGTTTTCTTTTTTGTAGGGAAAACTCATTCAGTTAATTCTTTCAGGCTCATTTTACCTGATCGTTTCAAGTTACTGTAACCCCGGTGCTCGAGACGACAAAGCGCGGCAGTTCTGTTCCTGTAGAGACCTGTTTTTTGTCAATTGAAAAGTTTAGATTGTTGTTTGTCAGCTTATTTGTGTTGGCTGTTCCGCAGAAACGACTTTTTAATGAAAATTCAGCTTCTTTCTAGCATTCTGAAAGTAGGGAAAACTCATTTTGTAGGAAAAACTCATTTGGTAAATTCTTTCAGGCTCAATTTACATGAACCTATTAATCAATTTTTATGGACTTTTAAAAAAATTGCCTGTAAAAATAGTTTCATGCAGTAGCGGATTTGCAATTTCAAACATAACTGCTTGAAACTGCAAAAGCTTGTGGTTCGAAGCCGGCTGGGACCCGTCTCTTCTGCAAACTGGAGCTTTTGTGCTTTTTCGGACTATTGACCGTGTATTTGATTTTATTGACTTAATTCTTCTTGACCGATTTTTTTGAAGGCTCGGCTTTATTCCAAGTTGCTGTAACCCCGATGCTTGAGACGCCAAAGCGCGGCAGTTCGGTTCCTGTAGAGTTGTGTTTTTTGTCAATTGAAAAGTTTAAATTGTTGTTTGTCTGCTTGTTTATGTCGGCTGTTCCGCAGAAACGACTTTTTGAATGAAAATTCAGCTTGTTTTTAGCATTCTGAAAGCTCCATGTACAGTATTTAATTTTGCTGGTAATTTTGATCCGGGCTTTTGTTGCGATTGCTTAAAATTTTACTGACAAACACCGTTTTTGAAGGATTTTTTTTTTCATTTTTGATTTTAATCATAGTCATTCATTTTTGTATCGCAGGTTCGAAGCTCAGCTTAGCCTCCGTGTAAAATATCGATAATACTTTTCTTAGCTGATGGTTTTTCGTCTTAATGGTTGTCCATTAAGCTCTTGGTTTTTTTCCGAATTCTATAAAGCACATTGCATTCAGTAAAATCATGGCACTTGTGGATACTATTTGGGCAGTACATGTTTTTTTTCTAATAATATTTTGCCAAAAATGTTTGGTGCGTTTTCAATTTATTGGATGTTGGCTTAAGTTCTGTCGGCTTGTTTACCTATTATTTTGGTTTCCTACTAATTTTCGATATTTTTATGTGATCGATAAGAGTTTGACCCCTAATTTTCGAATGCTCAAAAGCAACCCCACTTGGAATTTTCTTTGAAAAACTTATATAAATTTAAACAGAATTTTAAAAAATACTCCTCTTTGAATGTAATTGAGCTTCTTCTCGCTAATCAAATCGTATACATGTTGTTTCGCAAGTGATGCGAAGCTGATTTTCGCCTCAGTGTCGAAATTTCTTTTCCGAAGATTTTTGTGTTTTGTCTTTCTGGATGAAGAAGTAAGTTCCAAACCAACAAAACTTTTTCAAATTGATTCCAGCACCGTTCCATCACTGACAAGGGACGAGATAAAGAGGACATGAATGTAATAGAGGCATGGCTGATGGGATACAGTGGCAAAGGCGTTATCGTCACCATCATTGATGACGGAGTAGAGGGAAAACACGTGGACTTGGCCAAGAACTTCGTTAGTTGCATCATTTTGAATTTGACACAGTTGTAGTGGAGTTGTCGTAAAATTTGGTGCATTCTCAATGAAATTTTGAAGTTTATTATGAACATATCTCTAAAATGGCAAAATGGATAACTTTTTTTTTGTTTAGGACCCAGAAGCAAGTTATGACATTAACGATAACGACAAGGATGCCACGCCAAGATACGATCACTCGAATATCAACAAGTAAGCAGTAAAATTGTAAATTCCTAAAATTGTAAATTCAGTTGACATTTCGAATATTTCTAGTTTCCTTTATAGAATTCCTGCATAATTTTTTTAATTTTGCGAACATGGCCTTTGTGTTCAGACACGGTACAAGAAGCGCAGGAGAAGTTGCTGCTGCAATTGGTAACGAAAAATGCGTTGTGGGTGTTGCATACAATTCGAAGGTTGGCGGAATCCGCATGTTAGACGGGACAATCACCGACTCAGTTGAAGCCAGATCACTCTCACACAAACCAGAGTACGTTCATATCTACAGTTCTTCCTGGGTCCAGACGATGACGGAAAAACTGTAGATGGACCCAAGTCATTGGCACTGAAGGCCTTTTCAGACGGGGTGCAAAAGGTTAGTCCAACTTATCAAGAGTCAAGGAACTTAGTGAATACTCTCTTATAGGTCTTGGTATTTTTTTTTCAAGAAAGTCTTTTAAAATTTGTTCACGCTCACTTTTGATTTTTAGCGGTTCAGCTTTCCGAGCGAAATAAAAAATTTACCTATTCATCCACTTTCTCAAATTGGGTTATTTTTTATCAAAAATAAATAAATTGTTCTTGAAATTCCCATAGCTTTAAGGTCACATTTTTTTTCTTTCTAATGGGAATTTCGAAATTGAAGTTTCGGTCATTCGAAATTGGAAGTTTTTTCGAAACAACTCAGTATCTTTTATCTACTTCTTAAGTTAACGTCTCTTAAGTGTATATTTTTTGGTAAAATATTGAAACCACCAGACCGAATTCATCAGAGCAAATAGTGCTGTTGTCAAACCTCTAACTTAATATTCCGGCTTACTATTTCATGAAACTTAAAAAATGCTGTTTGAAAAAGATAGTGTTCGACTTTTCGAGAATAATTAACAATAATTGACTACACCTGCTTGTGTTCGGATGGGATACACTTTTCATTAGCGATTCATTAAGATACTTTTTTATAATGATTATGTCAAAATTTTAATGAAGTTTTAATTTTTGCATTGTGCTTAGGGTCGAGGAGGTAAGGGCTCTATCTTCGTGTGGGCAGCTGGAAACGGAGGCAGACATCAGGATGACTGCAACTGTGATGGCTACACTACTTCCATCTACACTCTCTCAATCGCCAGCACAACAGAGCATGAACTGTTTCCGTGGTACAGCGAAAGGTTAGAGAGAGAAAGCGAGAGAGAAAAAAACTGTTTATTAAAGCGAGTCGCAAATCTAGAATTGTCCAGCATTACAAAAATTTCAAACGAAGTCTTGAAAATTTTGCTGTCTGCTCAACTAATGAGTTTTTGATGGATTTTTTCGAATGCTTTTCTTGGATGCAAGTGCAAATGAATTGTCGGATTTAGAATTTTCTCGAAGGGTGGATATCAAAACAATGTGACGGCCTTTCTAATCCCCTGAAAAATCAACCGTACCAACATCTTGCCTGAGTTTAAATCAACCGCGCCCCATGATTCCGCAGCTGGAAAATCATGACCTACCAAAACTTAAATGAACTGAAAAACGAAATCGTAAAAAAAGCTGATTGGGTATGAAACTGGTGAAATTACAAGAAAAATTGATTTATCGTTTTTTGTTTTGCTGGAATATTCTCCTTATTACATCACGGGGTCAGTTTGGTGAAGCCCTAATTTTAGACCCAAATTTTAATTTATTGTTAAGTTTCTTGTTTGTCCTCATGCAGGTGTTCGTCGACATTAGCCAGCACGTACAGCAGTGGCAGTGTGGGAGATAGGAGCATAGTGACAACAGACTTAAAGAATAAGTGCACAGATAAACGCACGGGAACATCGGCAAGCGCCCCCCTGGCGGCTGGGATTTGTGCTCTCGCTTTAGAAGCCAAGTACGTTCAAAATGACTTTTTCTGGACTTGGGTTTCTATTGTCTTTTTATGATGCAAAAATCTGCTCTTGGATTGGATAGAAGCAAGGCCAATCATTTGTATTTTTCATGTGCTAGTTTTCTCATATTCAGGTTCTGTGTTTTCTTTTTTGTAGGGAAAACTCATTCAGTTAATTCTTTCAGGCTCATTTTACCTGATCGTTTTTAATCAATTTTTGTGGACTTTGTAGTTTCATGCAGTAGCGGATTTGGGGGGGGGGGGGGGGGCAAACGCCTCCTCACCCTAAGGACTTCGATCGCCTGCTGACCCTAAAGGTCCCCCTTTGTACGATTTTGAGATATCCTTTTTTGGCTGATTGACCTTAAAATTTGTCTAAAGGCGCCAGTATATACTAATTGTGAGGGGGAGCGCGCGCTGAAAAACGCGATTTTTTTGGTCAATTTTTCAAAAATATATATATCGAAATTTTTTTATAATCTTCTGCACCCTCGAAAAAATCCTAGATCCGCGCCTGGATGCATGAACATGATGGAGCCTTAAGAGCATTCATTTTTCGATGAAACCTTCAAGTTGTAAAAGCAATAGTCAGTCGGTTTTTTCTGCTCCAACTGTGTGGCCGATGTACAATTTGTTTCATTTTCAGTGCCAACCTGACTTGGCGGGACATGCAACATATCGTATTAAGAACTGCCAGACCCCTCGCCAAAATGCAACCCAAGGGATCAGGGGATGCCTGGACGAGGAACGGGGCCGGCAGACTGGGGAGTCACAGCTATGGGTATGGATTGATGGATGCTGGAGCCATGGTCAGACTAGCCAAACAATGGAGCACTGTTCCTCCTCAGAGGGAGTGCGTGAACAGCATGCCCGGTGCCAATCCAATGTTAGTATAGTAGGTTGTAAAAATAGATAGAAGTAAACGCCAGTTTTGAAATTCGTCGCAGCTCGAAGCCTAACTCGGCTTTTGTTGTCGTTCAAAATTTCATTTAGATTTGATTTTTCGGGCAAAATTGATGGCCGCAAATGTATTTGGAAATTTGTTATTTACTCTTTTAAAATTTCCTCTAAATTGTACATAAACAAGTTTATTTGCAGTAAAATCCAGCCTCATTCCAGTCAGTCAATTCGAATCCAAAGCACTGGCTGCAACGAACAGGTGCTCTACTTGGAGCACGTAGTCGTGATCATAACGCTCAAAATACCAACGATGAGAGGGAAGCTGTCCATCCAGCTGAAGTCTCCTGCAGGCACGGTGTCTCAGCTACTTTTCCCAAGGAACAAGGACACTGGCAAGACTGGCTTCGACAACTGGCAGTTCATGTCTGTCCATCACTGGGAGGAGACTGCGGTTGGCGAGTGGGAGTTCGTATTCAAAAATGACCACGCAATAGCCACTGGTGCGAGAACTAATTATTGGTGTTTTCGATAAAGATTTACGGTTATAAAGAGTCATGAACGTAGTGAATACTCTAACAGAGTAGGTCTTGGGGATTTTTGTTGTTTTTTCTAAGGAAAAAGTCTTAATACTTTTTCACACTAATTTTTGGTTTTTCGCGGTTCGACTTTCGGGGTTCTGAATTTTTTCGCGGTTCAACTTTCGCGGTTCTGATTTTTTTAAGTTCACTTCATTTCGCGGTTCGACTTTCGCGGTTTTCGCGGTTCTGATTTTTTTCCAGTTCATTTCATTTCATCGAACAGCAAAAATATAAAGTTCACGGAAAGCGTGATCGACTTCTAGTTTTGAAAATGTATCTTATGTGAGATTTCTCAGCTGAATAACAAAGTTTACCTATTGATCCAGTTTTTTCAAATCGGTGTTTTTTTATCAAAAAAGTGTCACTCATAACATGTTAAAATTGAACGAGCCTTCTTATTATGTAAATAAAATTTAGAAATATTAAAATTATTCTAGCCGAGATGGCCTCGAACCTGCGACGAAGGACATTTTCTGTAGTTAATTCGAACCGATGCGCAATTGCGTTAGCCGCTAGGTTCCCTGTGTTTGTGGAGTGCGGAGTGATTGCGTCTTTGTTAAGGCTAATGATATGTGCTTGGGGATAATATCCACGCGGGCTACTTTCCTCGACAATCCAAATACGATTTCCGGATGTGATTTCCTGATCAGCGAGTGTGCCATTTCTGACGCTTGTTCAGAGACGGCGCATATTCACGCTGTCTTTTGGTCGAATTTTTCAGACCGATTTTTTTGAAGGCTCGGCTTTATTCCAAGTTGCTGTAATCCTGATGCTCAAGACGACAAAGCGCGGCAGTTCTGTTCCTGTAGAGACCTGTTTTTTGTCAATTGAAAAGTTTAGATTGTTGTTTGTCTGCTTATTTGTGTCGGCTGTTCCGCAGAAACGACTTTTTGATGAAAATTCAGCTTCTTTCTAGCATTCTGAAAGCTCCATGTACAGCATTAAATGTTGCTGGTAATTTTGATCCGGGCTTTTGTTGCGATTGCTTGAAATTTTACTGACAAACACCGTTTTTGGAGGATTTTTTTTTTCATTTTTGATTTTAATCATAATCATTCATTTTTGTATCGCAGGTTGTGCGAAGCTCAACTAAGCCTCCGTTAAAAATATCGATAATACTTTTATTAGCTGATAGTTTTTCGTCTCTATGGTTGTCCCTTAAGCTCTTGTTTATTCTCCGAACTCTATATAGCACCTTGCCTTCAGTAAAATCATAGCATTTGTCGTTACTATTTGGACAGTACATGAAATATTTCTAATATGATTTTGCCAAAATTTTTTGGTGCGTTGTCAATTTATTTGATATTGGCTTTAATTATGTCGGCTTGTTCACCTAATATTCTGTTTCCTACTAATTTTTGATATTTTTTGTGTGATCGATAAGAGTTTGATCCCTAATTTTCGAATGCTCAAAAGCAACCACATTTGAAATTTTCTTTAAAAAACTTATATAAATTTAAACAGTGTTTCAAGATACTCCTCTTTGAATGTACTTGAGCTTCTTTCCGTCATGAAGGGTTCCTGCTCGGGTTTTTTTTCGGCCTTGTCTCCGCTTGGTGATTATAAATTCAAATCACCATCACGCATAGAGGTAACATAACTGCTTGAAACGGCAAAAGCTTGCGGTTCGAAGCCGGCTGGGACCCGTCTCTTTTGCAAACTGGAGCTTTGTGTTTTTTCGAACTATTGCCCGTGTATTTCATTTTGTTGACTTAATTCATGTAGACCGATCTTTTTGAAGGCTCGGCTTTGTTTTAAGTTGCTGTAACCCCGATGCTCGAGACGACAAAGCGCGGCAGTTCTGTTCCTGTAGAGACCTGTTTTTTGTCAATTGAAAAGTTAAGATTGTTGTTTGTCAGCTTATTTGAGTTGGCTGTTCCGCAGAAACGACTTTTTAATGAAAATTCAGCTTCTTTCTAGCATTCTGAAAGTAGGGAAAACTCATTTTGTAGGGAAAACTCATTCGGTAAATTCTTTCAGGCTCAATTTACATGAACCTATTAATCAATTTTTATGGACTATTAAAAAAATTGCCTGCAAAAATAGTTTCATGCAGTAGCGGATTTGCAATTTCAAACATAACTGCTTGAAACTGCAAAAGCTTGTGGTTCGAAGCCGGCTGGGACCCGTCTCTTCTGCAAACTGGAGCTTTTGTGCTTTTTCGGACTATTAACCGTGTATTTGGTTTTATTGACTTAATTCTTCTAGACCGATTTTTTTGAAGGCTCGGCTTTATTCCAAGTTGCTGTAACCCCGATGCTTGAGACGACAAAGCGCGTAAGTTCGGTTCCTGTAGAGACCCTTTTTTTAACAATTGAAAAGTTGTTTGTCTGCTTACTTGTGTCGGCTGTTCCGCAGAAACGACTTTTTGATTAAAATTCAGCTTCTTTCTAGCATTCTGAAAGCTCTATGTGCTGGTGCTGGTAATTTTGATCCGGGTAATTTTACTGACAAACACAGTTTTTGTAGGATTTCTTTTTTTTCATTTTTGATTGTAATCATAGTCATTCTGTTTTGTATCGCAGGTTTTTTACGATTCTCAGCTAAGCCTCCGTGTAAAATATTGACAATACTTTTCTTAGCTGATAGTTTTTCGTCTCTATGGTTGTCCATTGAGCTCTTGGTTTTTTTCCGAATTCTATAAAGTACATTGCATTCAGTAAAATCATGGCACTTGTAGATAATATTTGGGCAGTACATGTATTTTTCCCATAAGATTTTGCCAAAAATTTTTGCGTTTTCAACTTATTTGATATTGGCTTTAATTCTGTCGGCTTGTTTACCTTATCTTTTGTTTCCTACTTATTTTTGAAATTATTTATGTGATTGATAAGAGTTTGACCCCTTATTTTGGAATGCTCTAAAGCAACCCCACTTGGAATTTTCTTAAAAAAACTCATATAAATTTCAACCGAATTAAAAAAAAAAACTCCTCTTTGAATGTACTTGAGCTTCTTTTCGGCATGAAGGGATTCTGCTCGGGTTTTTTCGGCCTTGTCTCCGCTTGGTTATTATAAATTCAAATCACCATCAGGCATAGAGGTAACATAACTGCTTGAAACTGCAAAAGTTTGGTTATAACTTCAAATCATTATCAGCTATAGAGGTAACATAACTGCTTAAAACTGCAAAAGCTTGTGGTTCGAAGCCGGCCGGGACCCGTTTTTTTGCAAACTGGAGCTTCTGTGCTTTTTCGGACTATTGACCGTGTGTTTGATTTTGTTGACTTAATTCACGTAGACCGATTTTTTTGAAGGCTCGGCTTTATTCCAAGTTGCTGTAATCCTGATGCTCGAGACGACAAAGCGCGGCAGTTCTGTTCCTGTAGAGACCTGTTTTTTGTCAATTGAAAAGTTTAGATTGTTGTTTGTCTGCTTATTTGTGTCGGCTGTTCCGCAGAAACGACTTTTTGATGAAAATTCAGCTTCTTTCTAGCATTCTGAAAGCTCCATGTACAGTATTAAATGTTGCTGGTAATTTTGATCCGGGCTTTTGTTGCGATTGCTTGAAATTTTACTGACAAACACCGTTTTTGAAGGATTTTTTTTTCTTTTTTGATTTTAATCATAATCATTCATTTTTGTATCGCAGGTTGTGCGAAGCGCAACTAAGCCTCCGTGTAAAATATCGATAATACTTTTATTAGCTGATAGTTTTTCGTCTCTATGGTTGTCCCTTATGCTCTTGTTTTTTCTCCGAACTCTATATAGCACATTGCATTCAGTAAAATCATGGCACTTGTCGATACTATTTGGACAGTACATGAAATATTTCTAATATGATTTTGCCAAATTTTTTTTGGTGCGTTGTCAATTTATTTGTTATTGGCTTTAATTATGTCGGCTTGTTCACCTAATATTCTGTTTCCTACTAATTTTTGATATTTTTTATGTGAACGATAAGAGTTTGATCCCTAATTTTCGGATGCTCAAAAGCAACCACATTTGAAATTTTCTTTAAAAAATTTATATAAATTTAAACAGTGTTTTAAGATACTCCTCTTTGAATGTACTTGAGCTTCTTTCCGTCATGCTCGGGTTTTTTCGGCCTTGTCTCCGCTTGGTTATTATAAATTCAAATCACCATCACGCATAGAGGTAACATAACTGCTTGAAACGGCAAAAGCTTGCGGTTCGAAGCCGGCTGGGACCCGTCTCTTTTGCAAACTGGAGCTTTGTGTTTTTTCGAACTATTGCCCGTGTATTTCATTTTGTTGACTTAATTCATGTAGACCGATTTTTTTGAAGGCTCGGCTTTATTCCAAGTTGCTGTAACCCCGATGCTCGAGACGACAAAGCGCGGCAGTTCTGTTCCTGTAGAGACCTGTTTTTTGTCAATTGAAAAGTTTAGATTGTTGTTTGTCAGCTTATTTGTGTTGACTGTTCCGCAGAAACGACTTTTTAATGAAAATTCAGCTTCTTTCTAGCATTCTGAAAGTAGGGAAAACTCATTTTGTAGGGAAAACTCATTCGGTAAATCCTTTCAGGCTCAATTTACATGAACCTATTAATCAATTTTTATGGACTATTAAAAAAATTGCCTGCAAAAATAGTTTCATGCAGTAGCGGATTTGCAATTTCAAACATAACTGCTTGAAACTGCAAAAGCTTGTGGTTCGAAGCCGGCTGGGACCCGTCTCTTCTGCAAACTGGAGCTTTTGTGCTTTTTCGGACTATTGACCGTGTATTTGATTTTTTTGACTTAATTCTTCTAGACCGATTTTTTTAAAGGCTCGGCTTTATTCCAAGTTGCTGTAACCCCGATGCTTGAGACGACAAAGCGCGGCAGTTCGGTTCCTGTAGAGTTGTGTTTTTTGTCAATTGAAAAGTTTAGATTGTTGTTTGTCTGCTTGTTTATGTCGGTTGTTCCGCAGAATCGACTTTTTGATGAAAATTCAGCTTGTTTTTAGCATTCTGAAAGCTCCATGTACAGTATTAAATGTTGCTGGTAATTTTGATCCGGGCTTTTGTTGCGATTGCTTAAAATTTTACTGACAAACACCGTTTTTGAAGGATTTTTTTTTCATTTTTGATTTTAATCATAGTCATTCATTTTTGTACCGCAGGTTCGAAGCTCAGCTTAGCTTCCGTGTAAAATATTGATAATACTTTTCTTAGCTGATGGTTTTTCGTCTTAATGGTTGTCCATTAAGCTCTTGGTTTTTTTCCGAATTCTATAAAGCACATTGCATTCAGTAAAATCATGGCACTTGTGGATACTATTTGGGCAGTACATGTTTTTTTTCTAATAATATTTTGCCAAAAATGTTTGGTGCGTTTTCAATTTATTGGATGTTGGCTTAAGTTCTGTCGGCTTGTTTACCTATCATTTTGGTTTCCTACTAATTTTCGAAATTTTTATGTGATCGATAAGAGTTTGACCCCTAATTTTCGAATGCTCAAAAGCAACCCCACATGGAATTTTCTTTGAAAAACTTATATAAATTTAAACAGAATTTAAAAAAATACTCCTCTTTGAATGTAATTGAGCTTCTCGCTAATCTAATCGTATACATGTTGTTTCACAAGTGATGCGAAGCTCATTTTCGCCTCAGTGTCGAAATTTCTTTTCCGAAGATTTTTGTGTTTTGTCTTTCTGGATGAAGAAGTAAGTTCCAAACCAACAAAACTTTTTAAAATTGATTCCAGCACCGTTCCATCACTGACAAGGGACGAGATAAAGAGGACATGAATGTAATAGAGGCATGGCTGATGGGATACAGTGGAAAAGGCGTTATCGTCACCATCATTGATGACGGAGTAGAGGGAAAACACGTGGACTTGGCCAAGAACTTCGTTAGTTGCATCATTTTGAATTTGACACAGTTGTAGTGGAGTTGTCGGAAAATTTGGTGCATTCTCAATGAAATTTTGAAGTTTATTATGAACATATCTCTAAAATGGCAAAATGGATAACTTTTTTTTGTTTAGGACCCAGAAGCAAGTTATGACATCAACGATAACGACAAGGATGCCACGCCAAGATACGATCACTCGAATATCAACAAGTAAGCAGTTGATCTGGTGATATATAGAATTTTTAATTCCAAAAATTGTAAATTATAGAATTTTCAATTCCTAAAATTGTAAATTAAGTTGACATTTCGAATATTTCTAGTTTCCTTTATAGAATTCTTGCATAATTTTTTTTATTTTGCGAACATGGCCTTTGTGTTCAGACACGGTACAAGATGCGCAGGAGAAGTTGCTGCTGCAATTGGTAACGAAAAATGCGTTGTGGGTGTTGCATACAATTCGAAGGTTGGCGGAATCCGCATGTTAGACGGGACAATCACCGACTCAGTTGAAGCCAGATCACTCTCACACAAACCAGAGTACGTTCATATCTACAGTTCTTCCTGGGGTCCAGACGATGACGGAAAAACTGTGGATGGACCCAAGTCATTGGCACTGAAGGCCTTTTCAGACGGGGTACAAAAGGTGAGTTCCAACTTATCAAGAGTCAAGGAACTTAGTGAATACTCTCTTATAGGTCTTGGTATTTTTTTTCAGGAAAAAGTCTTAAAATTTGTTCACGCTCACTTTTGATTTTTAGCGGTTCAGCTTTCCGAGCGAAATAAAAAATTTACCTATTCATCCACTTTCTCAAATTGGGTTATTTTTTTATCAAAAATAAATAAATTGTTCTTGAAATTCCCATAGCTTTAAATTCACATTTTTTTTCTTTCAAATGGGAATTTCGAAATTGAAATTTCGGTCATTCGAAATTGGAAGTTTTTTCGAAACAACTCAGTATCTTTTATCTACTTCTTAAGTTAACGTCTCTTAAGTGTATATTTTTCGGTAAAATATTGAAACCACCAGACCGAACTCATCAGAGCAAATAGTGCTGTTGTCAAACCTCTAACTTAATATTCCGGCTTACTATTTCATGAAACTTAAAAAAATGCTGTTTGAAAAAGATAGTGTTCGACTTTTCGAGAATAATTAACCATAATTGACTACATCTGCTTGTGTTCGGATGGGATACACTTTTCATTAGCGATTCATTAAGATACTTTTTTGTAATGATTATGTCAAAATTTTAATGAAGTTTTAACTTTTGCATTGTGCTTAGGGTCGAGGAGGTAAGGGCTCTATCTTCGTGTGGGCAGCTGGAAACGGAGGCAGACATCAGGATGACTGCAACTGTGATGGCTACACTACTTCCATCTACACTCTCTCAATCGCCAGCACAACAGAGCATGAACTGTTTCCGTGGTACAGCGAAAGGTTAGAGAGAGAGAGAGAGAGAGAGAGAGAAAGCGAGAGAGAAAAAAAACTGTTTATTAAAGCGAGTCGCAAATCTAGAATTGTCCAGCATTACAAAAATTTCAAACGAAGTCTGGAAAACTCTGCTGTCTGCTCAACTAATGAGTTTTTGATGGATTTTTTGGAATGCTTTTCTTGGATGCAAGTGCAAAATGAATTGTGCAAGTGGATGCAAGTGCAAGTGAATTGTCGGATTTAGAATTTTCTCGAAAGGTGGATATCAAAACAATGTGACGGCCTTTCTAATCACCTGAAAAATCAACCGTACCAACATCTTGCCTGAGTTTAAATCAACCGCGCCCCATGATTCCGCAGCTGGAAAATCATGACCTACTAAAACTTAATTGAACTGAAAAACGAAATCGTAAAAAAGCTGATTGGGTATGAAACTGGTGAAATTACAAGAAAAATTGATTTATCGTTTTTTGTTTTGCTGGAATATTCTCCTTATTACATCACGGGGTCCGTTTGGTGAAGCCCTAATTTTAGACCCAAATTTTAATTTATTGTTTTAATTTCTTGTTTGTCCTCATGCAGGTGTTCGTCGACATTAGCCAGCACTTACAGCAGTGGCAGTGTGGGAGATAGGAGCATAGTGACAACAGACTTAAAGAATAAGTGCACAGATAAACACACGGGAACATCGGCAAGCGCCCCCCTGGCGGCTGGGATTTGTGCTCTCGCTTTAGAAGCCAAGTACGTTCAAAATGACTTTTTCTGGACTTAGGTTTCTATTGTCTTTTTATGATGCAAAAATCTACTCTTGGATCGGATAGAAGCAAGGCCAATCATTTGGATTTTTCAAGTGCTAGTTTTCTCATATTCAGGTTTTGTGTTTTCTTTTTTGTAGGGAAAACTCATTCAGTAAGTTCTTTCAGGCGCATTTTACCTGAGCCTTCTTAATCAATTTTATGGACTATTAAAGAAATTGCCTGCAAAAATAGTTTCATGCAGTAGCAGATTTAGAGGAAGAGGCAGACGCCCCCTTCCCCCCCCCCCCCTCTCAGGAATTCGACCGCCTGCTGACCCAAAAGGTCCCCCTTCGTGCTATTTTGAGATATCCTTTTTTGGCTGAGTGACCTTAAAATTTGTCTAAAGGCGCATTCGGCGCCAGTATATACTATTTGTCAGGGGGAGCGCGCGCTTGATTTTTTGGTCAATTTTTAAAAAAATATATCGAAATTTTTTTTGATAGTCCACTGCACCCTCTAGAAAATCCTAGATCTGCGCCTGGATGCGTGAACATGATGGAGCCTTAAGAGCATTCATTTTTCGATGAAACCTTCAAGTTGTAAAAGCAATAGTCAGTCGGTTTTTTCTGCTCCAACTGTGTGGCCGATGTACAATTTGTTTCATCTTCAGTGCCAACCTGACTTGGCGGGACATGCAACATATCGTATTAAGAACTGCCAGACCCCTCGCCAAAATGCAACCCAAGGGACCAGGGGATGCCTGGACGAGGAACGGGGCCGGCAGACTGGTGAGTCACAGCTATGGGTATGGATTGATGGATGCTGGAGCCATGGTCAGACTAGCCAAACAATGGAGCACTGTTCCTCCTCAGAGGGAGTGCGTGAACAGCATGCCCGGTGCCAATCCAATGTTAGTATAGTAGGTTGTAAAAATAGATAGAAGTAAACGCCAGTTTTGAAATTCGTCGCAGCTCGAAGCCTAACTCGGCTTTTGTTTTGTCCTTCAAAATTTCATTTAGATTTGATTTTTCGGGCAAAATTGATGGCCGCAAATGTATTTGGAAATTTGTTATTTACTCTTTTAAAATTTCCTCTAAATTGTACATAAACAAGTTTATTTGCTTTATTTGCAGTAAAATCCAGCCTCATTCCAGTCAGTCAATTCGAATCCAAAGCACTGGCTGCAACGAACAGGTGCTCTACTTGGAGCACGTAGTCGTGATCATAACACTCAAAATACCAACGATGAGAGGGAAGCTGTCCATCCAGCTGAAGTCTCCGGCAGGCACGGTGTCTCAGCTACTTTTCCCAAGGAACAAGGACACTGGCAAGACTGGCTTCGACAACTGGCAGTTCATGTCTGTCCATCACTGGGAGGAGACAGCGGTTGGCGAGTGGGAGTTCGTATTCAAAAATGACCACGCAATAGCCACTGGTGCGAGAACTAATTATTGGTGTTTTCGATCAAGATTTACGGTTATAAAGAGTCATGAACGTAGTGAATACTCTAACAGAGTAGGTCTTGGGGATTTTTGTTGTTTTTTTTCTCAGGAAAAAGTCTTAATATTTGTTCACTCTAATTTTTGGTTTTTCGTGGTTCGACTTTCGCGGTTTTCGGGGTTCTGATTTTTTTCGCGGTTCAACTTTCGCGGTTTTCATGGTTCTGATTTTTTAAGTTCACTTCATTTCGCGGTTCGACTTTCGCGGTTCTGATTTTTTTCAAGTTCATTTCATTTCATCGAACAGCAAAAATATAAAGTTCACGGAAAGCGTGACCGACTTCCAGTTTTGAAAATGTATCTTATGTGAGATTTCTCAGCTGAATAACAAAGCTTACCTATTGATCCAGTTTTTTCAAATCGGGTTGTTTTTTTTTAATCAAAAAAGTGTCACTCATAACATGTTAAAATTGAACGAGCATTCTTATTATGTAAATAATATTTAGAAATATTAAAATTATTCTGGCCGAGATGGCCTCGAATCTGCGACGAAGGACATTTTCTGTAGTTAATTCGAACCGATGCGCAATTGTGTAAGCCGCTTGGTTCCCTGTACTTGAGGAGTGCGGACTGATTGCGTCTTTGCCATAGTTAAGGCTTATGATGCGTGCATGGGGATAATATCCACGCGGGCTACTTTCCTCGACAATCCAAATACGATTTCCGGATGTGATTTCCTGATCAGCGAGTGTGCCATTTCTGACGCTTGTTCAGAGATGGCGCATATTCACGCAGTCTTTTGGTCGAATTGGCGTTAGCGTCTGCATGTGCGCGGAGATAGCGCTTGCGGTTGTTGAAGTGATTGTCTGTTGCAACTGATGGAAAGATCACGGAATGCTCTCCCAGTAAGAAATGATTGGTTGTAATTGTCTCTTTTGTTCATTTGAGTCACTTCTAACGTGTGTAAGAGGACACACATTTAAAGACTATTGCATTGGACAGAAAGTTGTCTGAAGAACTCTCAGTCAATTTAGGAGGCGTGAAGTTTTAGTAAAAAAAACTCTGTTGCAACTACGTCTTGCCACCATGGTGTCATGCGGGTAGAGGGTTGTGTTTCAGCTCTATCCTTTTATGTACAAGACGAGCGGCTGCGACAAGGATGAACGGCGAGCGGTTTACGACAAGGATTGGAACACACTAACTATACTTGATATCATGGATACAAAATTTATGATGCTATCGGAGTAATGCATCTTAACGCGCGATATTTTGTTCAGTTTATCTAGGTATGCACGGACAACTAGTTGTGGCCGACCAAGTTTTCGCTCAAGTTTCATGAGAGCATCCTTGTACATTGCGCCACTATAGGCAAAATGCGCTATAGTCTTTTTCCTTTACCGGTGACCAATGTCTTGCGGTATGTTAATTTAACATCATCGGTAAGTTTAGGGCCATTTCTAAATTGACCAATCCATTCTTACCACTGGAGCAGATCACCGTTGTATTGAGCAATTTTCCATTGCGGCATTGAATCCTTTCGACTAACGGTGTGAACGTGTCTTAAATCCTCTACGGCTATCGGATCAGATGTTGAATGATACGAGATAGGAGCAAAAAGATGCGGCAGCAGTATTACTGGTTGAAAAAAGCCGATGAGCAATAGGAATAAACGCTTAGGGCAAAGGCTGTGTTTGTTGGCCTTGCATTGGTGGATTGTAGTAATCAGTTCCACCTGTGTTGTGTGAACTATTTGAATCGGATGGTTGCATTATAGGTGTGAATGTGAATGAATCATAAGTTCCTAATTGCGGTGAACGAGTATTAGCAACAGTATCATTTGCAAATGATGAGAGAGAGCAAACCTCCATTGTTCATGTTAGGCGTGTAATACCCAAATGAGGATGAGTAAAGGTCGGTTGAACGGCTGAGATGACCTATGTACAGGTATGTTGACTGGAGCAGTCATGAGGAAAGCTTGCTTGATATTGCTGCTCTTGAAGAGTTAAGATGTCGGAGCGGGCGGTGGATGGGACGGCGGTGTCTGTAGTGGAAGCTGTATTCTAGAATAATGGGCGATCAGAGGTCACCTGATGCTGACCAGAGAGCAACTGTTGGGTTGGAACGAAAGAGTAAAAATTTATTGGATAATTTATTACTTGTACGGTAGAAGAGTTAACCAAAAAGACAAGTTTTTTTTGTAAATCATGCGGAGCAACATTGATAACAGTCGCCGCTTGAGATGACTGATTCTCAATTGCGACATCCACACAGTCTTTCATTCGAGCCTGAGAGGAAAACTGGGAACTCTTCTTGAGCATGCTGAGTTTCGACAATTTAAGTATCTAACTACTTCCTTTGATTTTCTTTGACAATTTTCTCAAGTTTTAACTAGTTTGCTTCTTGCTGAAAGCGAATGTCAGCTTTGTTCTGCCTTTAAATTTCATCGCGATACAGTTTTGTATTTTATAGTTCACATGTGCGTTGACTTGAGGTCATTGAGGCAGCCCCAGAGTGTGTGGAGTTGTAACGGCTGGATCTTTTTGCGGTAGAGGAAGTTTTCGATGTTTGAGATTTTTGATCTCCAGAATCCAACGGCGAAGGTTCAGCTACTTCTCAGCTACTTCCAGCACATTGTCGTGGGTGTTAGTTATATTCATCAACCTCGATTCAAGATCAGCGACAGCGTTTTTTGGCTCAAAGGTGTGATCTGAGGCTAAACATTTCATCGTTCTTCCTTAAAGCGTTTTCTAAGGCCGCTTTACACTGGTTGATCAACCTTTAAAATTTTAATGCCTGTACATTTGATTGGAAAGAGTCCTGAGGCTAGATTGACCTTGATGAAACTACTCTTCATACTTTTTTGTCTCTGAAAAATCTTACTGATTGTTCGAGTGTGCTTATCTGACTACAGCCTTAACTCAGCTCGAAAATTGTTAATGCGGACTTCCGAAAAACGGGTTGTTCAAGTCCTTGTCTTCTCTCCTTCTGCAACCACCAAGTCAATAGCTCAGAACTTGGCCACCAAGGTATAGCGTGTCTGCTGTCGGAATGTCGTTCTCGAAACCCTGGTGCAAGGCCTCCTTTTGCGATACCTGGACAGGTTGCTCGTTTTTTCTTGCGGTTGCTCTATTCTTCAAAATTGTTTGTTTGATCCGTTGTCACAGTTTGTTTGCCCATAATTAGCCATCGGGCTTTCGTTTTGGTAAGAGCTATTTGGGCTTAACTGTGGAAGCCTTGCTTTAAAAACATTCCGTTTTCTCACACACGTTGATTTCTGTCGTTCCTTCGGAGTAAAATTCGTTGAAATAGTCTCTTTCGTGCGAGTGATTTGTCGAGTGAGCTGTTTGTAGGTTCCGTTGACTGAGTCCGGCATGTGAGATCATTTTCGAAAGTAAGCCTTTTGGGGGACTAGGGTGACAGTGATCTGCTGAACCTTGAGCGTTAAGCTGCATCAATTTTTGTTGTCATCAAGCTGTGAAAAGCCATTTAGGCTCAGCTGGCTTTCGTATAATGTCTGTTTGTCGTCAAGTAGGGCTGGTTGTGTTTAGTGTCTAACTATTGGCGTATCATATTCTTTCCTGCCACGTTCGCGTCTAAGGTGTAGAGAGGGTACAATTTGACGAATAAAACTGCTAATGAATAATTGAATTTCGGTCCAATTTAACGTGAAAATCGTCAAATAACAACGTTAGCATCAGTAGTAAGGAGCATATTCGTATGTAAAATTAGCAGCAATAATTGACAGCAAATACGAATGTTCGCAGTCAAAAACCGAGGTCAGACAAGGTCGAAATCGATTGATTTGTTGTTTTATGAACTTATTATTTTCGTAGTTAATATAATAACTATCCGATTTCATTTTTCCGAATTCTTTTCAGTCGGATATGTATCAAATGTTTCATCGCGAAAAAGTTTGATTGAAAAACAGAGTTTAAATGTTGTTTTAGCAACCTTATCCAAAATTGAGCTGAAGCTCTACGGCACCTTAGAAGATCCTTCCAAATTCGCCAAGCTGTCTGGTAACAGCACCTACTCACATGCATATGCCCAATTCAGCCGAGGACTGCAGTTGTTCCGTGAAGACAGCATGGGTTCCGATTCCCGTTCTTCGTTTGTGAACAACACGAAGTCTTTTTTGTGTGTGTTAGTCGTTGCTGCAGTCTGGCTCAATCAAAGGATTCTTGTATGAAGATTTTACAGCCGGTGAACAGATTTTCAGATGACTTCGAAGACTGCAAGGAGCTTAAAGTAAAAAAAAAACACTTTTTGAGTAGTTGAACACGATGCGAGTCTCTTGAATTCGCTGTAGAACGATGAAATTTCGATGTTTTATTTTGGTTTTTGTATTGATCTTTGTGTATCTAGAGATCTGTTTGTTCATCGGAGATTTTTGACAAAAAAACTGAAAGCCAGTTTGTTTTTAAAAATGAAATTTTTGATGAAATGCAGTTAATATTCGGAACTTGGTCCAATTAGTGTACAGTGTCAGTTTGTAAATGTATTTTTCACTGTAAAATATTTTATATTGTTTTCAGAAAGTTTATTATTTGCAGTTCAGACTGAAGTTAGCAGTAGTCTACTAGTATGGCTTTTCTTTCTTTCAGTTCTGCTCAGCAGGGAACGTAAAAAAATTGTTAACCTTTTCAAAAAAAATGTTCGCTTATAATTTACTAAGAAAAAGTAATCTCAAATTATAATTTAGTCTTAATTTGCCCCAAAAAGAGCAAAAATGTTGCCTCACAAACAGTAGAATAACCCCAAACTATAGTTTGTTAGGAAAAACTCTGCCAATAGCCTTCATGTGCTGGTAACTTCACATGAAGCCGAAAGATTTTTCGGTTCTTTGAAGCAAAAATGGATGTCTGTCAGATTATTACGATCAAAACGTGTAGAAATTGTTTGTTCGTGCGTTTTTTAGATTGAAGCTGAAGCTTTCTATATGTCTTTTTTGTTTTGCCACCAGAAGAACAAATAAAAAACAAAAGTTGCGACCCAACTTACTTTTTTCCGCTCTCTGCTGCTCAGTGTTCAGAAATTGGAAAGTCGCTTCAAGATAATTTTAGTTTCTCTTGCTGGTTATTATTTTTGGCCTAGTTTAGCAATTATGTGCACTTTGCGCTGTATTTTAACCGCATATCGAGATCACTCAGTAAAATAAATTTTTATTGATTTGTTCTTTTATGATAATGGCGCGTTGAACAAAGTTAAAGAGTTGTGCAATTGACGTAGCTTATTTGACGCTTCCGAAATCAAGTTTCTTAAAATTGGATGCAAGAATGTCTCATCGTGGAATGTTTTCAAGATTAGATAATTGCAGTGAAGACTCTTACATAGGTCGTGATTTTTTTTTCAGGAAAAGTCGTTTATTCAAGCTCCAATTAATTTTTCTTGGCCTGGCTTTTGATTTCTTTTTATGTTCAATTCATTTCCGTTGTTGAAAGGAAGGCAAGCACCACTATCGAACAGCAAAAGTGTAAAAGAACACGAAGGATTCATTGTTCAGATTTCCAAGCCGAATAAAAAATTTACTCATTAATCCAGATCTTATATTTGCGAGAACCAATTTTTGGTTCTGTACTTTTAGAAAAAATTTAGAACAAACTAAAAAAAGCAAAAACAGAACCAAAAACTTGGTTTTTCAGTTGGTATCAATTTCAATAAAAGCAATATTGTGTGAATATTGAAAACCATTCCATGTGAAAAATTGGCCTTCAAAATTACCAGATGGATTCATTGCCCAATTATTACACCTGCGAGAGCGGAAGTGAGTATATTAATACACACAAAAAAATCAAAAAACTTTAGATGTTGAAAAAACCTAGTTAACTAAAATTTGAATTTTCACATGTCTCGATAGAATTTCATATTTGGTTAACATGCCAGATATTTGAAAAACAATTTCGTACAAAAATTTGCTTACGCGAAAAAATCGTGTTCCTAATTAGAAGACACTTGTAATTTGGAACACGACTTTTCTCGCGTAAGCAAATTTTTTGTACAAAATTTTACTTTTTTTTATTGAATCTTACCAAGCTCCAGGTTCCTTAGCATTTGGCCGACAGGTAATGCCGTTGCCTTTGCACCCTTAGGTCTAGGATTCGAGTCCCGGTCGATACTTTTTTTTTCATATGTTAGCAATAGAAAAAAAATCTCGGATAGTAATCGTATTGTCGGACTTTTGCTTGTCTACTCAAGTTTTAACGGCTTAGTTGCCTCATCACGGGTTTGTCTTGTGCTGTAAGCAACTTTTATTGTAGTTGGAGGTACAAGTGTTTGTCATTGTAGTTTCATGAGGGACTTATAAGTCTAAAGTTTTTTTGTAAAGATTTGGTTCGGCTCACCTTGTGTCTGGTCAAAGAACGTCGGCTTAAATCTTCTTCGCTAGTTTTGTTCCGTTGCTAGTTTGTTTTCGAAATGTCTGGCATGTTAGCCGAAAATGAAATTCTATCGAGACATGTGAAAGCTTAAATTTTAGTTATTTTAATTTTTTCAACATCTAAAGTTTTTTTGACTTCTGTTTTAATTTGTGTGTGTGTATTATTAATTGTGAAGAATTTTGTATTCGGGTGTGTTTTAGATTTTCATTTATTTTTGTTTTCCAAGCAAAATTAGTTAGCCCAAATAATCATCGAAAAAAATTGAGTGATCTATCATATTTTAAAAAAAATTGAGAAAAACTCGTTTGAAATTTTTGGTTTTTCGTCTTAGTTCGAGCGAGCGGGCAGGCTTACAATAGTTGTTTAATTGCTTAAAAGCTTACAATAGCTTAATTTAAACCGTATTAACTGAGTTTCAATTGTGTTAGTTTTGAGTATATTAAGGCCTCTTTGGTATCAATAACTGCAAAAATTCTAAAAACTGCAAAAAAAATTTGAACAAACTCTGTCTATGAATTTTTTGCTTTTTTAATCTTTCTACAAAATTTTTGGGACTACGGTCGCAACATTCTGTGCTACTTGCACAGTAACTGGCTTCCTTGTTTTGATATTTTTTTATGCAAGCAGTTGAGGTTGTGATAAAGACCTCTTTTAAGTGGCGGTTTCAACCTTGAGGCTGAGAAACAATTTTTGGTGGTGCCATAAGTTTTCATTTATTTTTCTAAATTTCTCCCTCTCATTTCACCCTCCCGTAGCTGGCATGCTCATGTTCACGGAAATTGAAATAAAACTACTATCGCTTAGAAAGTAATTAGGTGGAGTCCGTTTCAGGCAATAATTAATTTTTTAACTAATTTTTTTGAAACTGCTTTTGTCGGGTTCGTGGTTTCCCTTCTTATTTTCACTGTTTTGTTTTTTCGTTTTTTTAAATGCTATTTTTACTATCTGATACGGGGTATGGTTTATACCGTCGTACTTTCTGAAGTATGGGTTTGTTAAATGCTATTTTCCTTGTCTGTTTAGGTTTTGTATCGGCGTACTTTCTAAAGCATGGGTTTGTTTACAGCTGTTTAGCTTAAACCATTTTTAGTATAATTGAAATTGCTGTAATTTTTAAGTTCACGAAGTCTTGAATTTTAATAGTTTTTTTTTGTTTTTAAATGGTTTTGACTTATGATATCGTTTTATTCAACTTATGTGTAGTTTTGAAAGCAAAACATGTCTTTCAGTACGGGTGGGTCGAAAAATTCTTAAAACTTTTATAGCTCTACAATATTAGCCTTCTTTTGGTTTTTTCCCCTCTTTTTCTCTTTATTCTGTCTAAAACGTTTCGGTTTTTAATATATCTGTTAAAGGTCTCTTTTTGAGTCGTTTGAGGAGCAACAGAGTTTTATCTGAAATTTTTATCAGCTTTGTTACTGATTTGTAAACTTTGTTTTGATGCTAGTTTAAAACTCATTGTATTTGCTCTCGGCTAATTTTCTTGTTTTGGCATTGTTTTTAATTTTTGGATTTGTGGTTCATATGCAAGTAATTGTATTTTTTGTTTTCATATCGAAAAAGTGTCGAAGCGCTGCTTTGCTTCTGTGGTTAATTTCTGGAACGAATCAAGAAGAAGAGTTTGTTTATCATAAAGTGTCACGAACTTTTTTTTACAGTAAATATTAATTAGGCGCATTTCGAAAGGGTAAGCAAGGAGACCAGCTGAACTGCAGTTTGCTTGCCATATGAATTGAGGATTTATATCCGGCTACATTGTGTGAATACACAATCATCAAAATGACGTAACTTAGACGTTATACCACATTAAACTGATCTTTTAAATCATGCTGATTTTGATTTGAAAATTTCGTTGATTTTTATCTGAAGATACTTTTGTGCCGAAGCTAAAATTCGCGGCAATGTTTTCGGACCAAGTGTCAGCTCGTAGCAAGCGACAATTAGCAGCACGATTAATTGCTAATTGAGGGGATAAATAAATGATGCGAATTAAGCTAATGGTTTTGCTGTTGATTTCGGGGGATTAAAATCCAGAGAGCGATCAAAAGTTTCCCAGTTTTGCATTAAATACCAAATAGAAATCAATTAACAGTAAAGAGAAGAGTAATTGAACGTTAGTTGCATCGAAAAGACCTTTTTGTTGATTCTTTCGTTTCAATTTTATTATGCTAAACATTAAACTCACTGATATTAATATGCCATTACTTTCCATCATGAACGAGCGAGGGAAACAGAACTTTTCTTTGGTGGAGAAACTTTGAATCTAAACCGCCATAAGAATATAACTGTTAAATCCAGTTGGTGATGCTTGAAGATACCGTGTACAACTTCTGTTGCTACCATCGCAAATGAAAGCAACACAGTCTAGCATGCAGATGGAACTTTTAAAGCACGTCCCCCGATATTTTATTAATTTTTTTTATAGTTCAATTGCAAACGATCAAACTTATTCATTAGTCTTATTGTCACTTCAAACAAAGTTCTTCTCTTTAAAACAGTTCTTCCGGGACTTCAGAAATTTGAAAGGTTTCAATTCAGGACTTGAGCCCCCACAGATTTTTGTAGATTTTGAGAAGACTTCAGTTCACGCGTTTCAGAAGCTATTCAATTGAGATACTATAAAAAGATCCTTTTTCTTTTGCGCAAGTCCATTGGCGCAAAGCTTAGGATATCGGATTAGCACCAGTTAATCGAGAAGATGCATGTTTATAAAGTCATTCGTCGCTCTCGAAATAATACCTGAGCTCGACATTGAATTCGGCGTGGTTGCTGTATGCTGTAAAATTTCCGACAAAATTGACGAGTTACTTTTATTTGATTACGATTATGTCGATTATTTTGAATCAAATTAGGTTGGAACCATCCTCCGTGGTCGCAGGGGGTTTGGCAATTCCCTATTTTACTCGGAAACAGTTCGAAAGTGCTAAAAATGGAAGACAGAAAACCAACGATTTGGTCGAAGGACGGCACAATGTTTTTCAGATGAGGTTGGGATATGCCCACCCTACCATTGGTAAATTATCCAGCTCTTTTGAAAAGAACAAAGTTTGTCGTAGAACAAATTGGTTGGAAAAATGCGGAGAAAGTGGCCCCAAGGTGACAAAATACGAAAAAGTCATGCCAGCTTAGTTGAAAACCTAAAGCGTTTTAGCAATAATATTTTTCTCAAACAGCTTGAGGGCCTCGCGTGCAATTTTGATTTTTAGTTTTTTTGTTTAACTTAACCCCTTCATTTAGTATCTTTTGATCTGATCAAAGTTTTCACCTCTACTAAGTGTCGCTTTCTATA